GACAGCATGGTATCACATTCCCCCCCCCATGATTTCCGACAGCAGTGCAACAATCAGGCGTGATTCCGCAAAATCCAGCATGCCAATTCTGCATCGAACTTCATCAACTCCAAACCGAAACAAGAAAAGAAAATATATCAAAGAAAAGGCGTCACACGTCCAGCGCATACCAGCCTGCCGTACAGGCCTACTTGGAAAGGAAAATTGGTACTCCGCAAGGATTGACTCGTCGGGTACGGTACATCGGAGGGACAGAGAAACGGTGCGTGCCCCCCAACGTCTTTACCCAGCACGTCGAACGCCAAGCCAATGCCTACTACATATAATATCCAGTACCATCAGAAAAACATAGAGAGAATGTGATACCAACAAAGAAGGAAAACCAAAGTGGAACAAACCGTACGCAGAAATAATACTACCACCGCCATTTGAGATATTGTCTTGACAAACAACAGCCCCCCGGCCGCAACATTCCATTTGTCTCCCAGAAAAACAACAATAATCAGCCATGGAAATTCCCTGCCATTTGGCCGTGGAAATTAGTGTCCCTGCAAGGTAAAACGCGGGTGGGTATCTCTACAGAACAAAACAAAAGCAAATCCAAACCTGCAAATGTGGCAACGATAGGAAAAATGATTTGCAGACATTCAAACAACGATGAAAAGTGCAGCATTGTATCTGAAGATCAAAACACAAGAACAACATCCTGCACACAACAAATAATAGAAAAATGACAAGAAGAAAACGCAAACAAACATCACGTGCCTTGGCGAGTTTGAGACCCCAGCAGAAGTCGCGCTGCTTGCCGTCATTGTCGGACTCGCCCGGTCTTCCGAACTCCCTTCCCCGCTTCATGATCCTCCTGTCGTTGTTCCGGTCGCGAACACGGGCTCCCCGGCCGTTGCCCCCGCGACATCTTTCCACGGTCGAACGGGGTGTCCACCCCCATCACCGGCCCCACTCTCCCAGCCTTCAGCCGGCACTGCTCCCCCGGGTCGAAGGGGCGCAGCAGTGCCCCAAACCAGGCCACATCCATCCCCTCTGCCTCGTCGTTGCTACTGCTGCCGATGCTGCTGCCGCTACTGCTGCTGGAGCCATCGACCAGGTCGTCCACCCCGGGATAGTTGGCGCCGCGCACCCCCGAACACACGGTGCCGGGATCGAAAGGGTGCGTGGACGCCCCCCTCTCGCCACAGACGCTGTCACCCCAGCAGCCATCAACCTCACCTGCGCACCAACCGCCATCATCGCTGTCGTCGTCAATGCCGTTGACCACCGCTTCCCCGTTGCTGGCCGTCCCCCCAACCGATACGGTGGGGGGAACGTCACCGACGGTCGCCATCGTAGCGGCCGGTGCCATCGCCGCGGTCGCGGGTGAGTGCCGTCACCGATGTCGCCACTCCAGCCGCCGATGCCGTCATTGTAGCCACCTGCGCGGGTTCTCGAGCCATTCTCCCCGCCGCCGCAGCGGGAGAAACAACACCGTCGGGTGCCGTCGCCGTCGCCGCTGGAACCGCCGTCGATACCGACGCTCCAAGCACCAACGCGGGCGCTCCGGTAGTTCTCCCCGCCACCGTCGCGGAGATAACAGTGTCGCCGGGCACCGCAACCGTCGCCGCTGGAACCGCCGCCGATGCCGTTACTCCAGCTGTCGCCGCGAGCCCTCCAGGCTCTTCCTCCGCCGTCGCTGCGAGGGAAACACTACCGCCGCCGTAAGTCGCCATCGTCGCCTCTGGAGCTGCTGCCGATGCCGCCGCTCCTGCCGCCACTGCAGGAACCCCGGCAATTCCCCCCGCCGCCGTCGCGGCAACAACACTACCGCCGCCGTAGGTCGCCGCCGTCGCCGCTGGAGCTGCCACCGATGCCGCCGCTCGTGCTGCCACCGCGGGGACTCGGGTCATCCCCCCTGCCGCCGTCGCGGGGGGAACACTGCCGCCAGAGGTCGCCGCCATCGCCGCCGGAGCTGCTGCCGATGCCGCCGCTCCTGCCGCCACCGCGGGGACCCCGGCCATCCCTCCTACCGACCCCCAAGAACGTCCATCCCCCCGAAAGCCCTCGCTGCTGAATCCAAAAGTACAGTGTTCGGAGTACGTGGGCACCCCAGCCTGAGTGAGAATTTTGTGCGTCGCCGAGGAATGATGGTGGCCTGAGTTCAGGTAGAAGCACCGCTCCCCCTTGCTGTGCATCTTTGACGGGCGGTGACGGTGGCGGAAGCCGGGCATCATGAACGGTAGCGCCACCCTGATCCTCCTCTTGCCGTACAGCTTAACCTCCGGGCACCTCTTGTCTTCCTTGCTCACCTCAGCAGCGATGTTCAAAGAATCGTTCATCCACGCGAAAGCCTCGGGCCAGATGGCCCGGAAGGACAGCGCCTTGGTCGGGTACAGAACTCCGGGGAAAAGCTTCGGGTATTCCAGAAACCCAGCCTTGCCTCCCTCCATCACTAGCGCGATCCTCCGCTCCACACGACCGTTGCTCTTGGGCCCGTCGACCGCCGTAAGCTCCCGCGTAACGTTCAGTTCCGCCAGCAGTCCCCGAAACTCCTCGTGGACCCACTCGGTACCGTTGTCGGTCAAAACACAGCCCAGCTCCCCGTGAGTAGCCAAGAGAGCCTTGATGGAGGCGTACCACGCACGGAACGCGCCCACGACGTTTGCACCACTCTTCTCCCGCAAGAAGAAAGTCCACCCTTAGTTGGTGTGGTGGTCCAAGATCTGCATCAAGTACTTGGCACCACCGCTGGATGAGCCGAAAGGACCGGCTAGGTCCATGGCGACACGTTCAAGAGGCCGCGTCGTCCGGCGGGAAGGGGAGATGACCTTGGGGACCGAGCGCTGGATCGCCTTCGACTCCGCACACCCATCACAGTACTCCGGAGTGCCGGTCACCTTGATGCCCATCTGCTTAGCGGTCTCGTACACGGTCTTGGAGTTGGCATGGCCGAGGGAGCAGTGAAGATCGTTGTAGTTGATACTAGACTGCAGGCCAGGCCGTAGCATCGCCGCGACCATTGCGGGGGATTTGACGTGGTGGGGTAGGGGATCGACGCGAGTCCCCTGGATGTAATTCCCGTGCGGGAATTTGGTGAATTGCACTAGCCCCCCCCAAATCGATGCCCCATGCCGGTTGAGCTTGATCTCATGACGTTCCTGGATCTGGTTCAGCGACAGAACATCTAGCGCCAAGTCCGGTACCACGCCAACATTCTTCAGCGTAACACGCACATCCTCATGGCAATGGAAAATCATATCCAAATCACCGAAGAACTCTACCGGGATAAGCTTGCCGTCGCCAAGCATGAGTAGCCGCTCCTCCGGGCGCGGTGGACGCCTGTTGTACACCTTTTCCCCGGAAGGGACCACGTGGACCACAGCGCCAGAGTCTCCGAGGAAGACTGTGGAACCCGGGCGATGCGGGAAAAGGTTGGATATTTCGCGCGCAGGGGGGGATGAGGATACGGAACAGACAAGGTGCATCGCGAAGAGACCGCCACCAAAAGTAACCTCGCCGTCCCCGCCGAGCGCCTCAGGAACCGCTCCCGCCGAGTCACTTGTCGCCATGGCACTGTTGGGCTGCAATCCGTCATCGCCACCGTCCACGCCACCGCCGCCGTGGAAAATGTCGACAAACTCAAAGAAGGGCTCGGCCGGTGTCACAACCTGCTGCTGTACGATCGCCCCATTGCCAACGCCGCCCCCACTACCGCTGCCGTCACCGCCGCTGCCGCCACCACCACCGCCACCGGCCATCATGGCGTCACTGTAGTACATCCCATCGGCCGCCGGGATATCACGATATGGGGCGGCCGATGCATCCGTCGTGGCGTACGCGTACTCCGGATCGACAGCACCAGCAGAAGTGACGACGTTGAGGTGAGGGTGCCGGTTACTTTTGGCACAATTGCGCCACATGTGGCCGTACTGGCCGCAGGCGCCGCACGTACCTTCGAACCTGCGGGGGGCGGCGCAATGCCCGGCGTGGTGGCCGTGTCTCCCACACCGCATGCATCGGTGCACTGTACCCATCGGCGCGCCGGACGGAGGTGGTGACTCCGGCTGGTAGTACACGGCGTTACTACCGCAATCGTAGATCCCGCCAACCCCGATCATAGCGGACTGCTGCTGCTGCCGCTGCTGCTGTTGCGGCTGCCGGTACGGCTGCATCTGCGACTGCTGTTGGTACGGCTGTTGCTGTCGCATCTGCTGCTGCGGTTGTTGGTACGGTTGTTGCATTTGCCGCTGCGGCTGCTGCGGCTGTCGGTACTGTTGCATCTGCGACTGCGGCTGTTGCTGTTGCCGCGGTTGCTGCTGCTGTTGGGCACCAGCTCCCCCAGAGGACCAATATTGCCCGCGGCCGTCGCCGCTGTTACCATTCCGCCGTTGGCCTCCGCCCCCCCCGCCCCCCCCGTTGCCGCCGTGCCCAAAACCACGGCCAACAACAAGAGCATGCGGGTTGGCGGAAACCGCCGGTGTCACAGCCGCCGACCTCATCTCGCTAGCCTTGAGCGTAGCATACCGACCACGCACGACGTCCTGCAGCTCAGCGCGGGTTAGATCACGCTTGGAAAGGCTACTGCGCTTCTCGACATCATAGCGTGCAGGGAGTTGACGGATGAGAATCTGCACAACCTCCAGCTCACTCTTGACAATGCCCACAGCCCGCAACTTGGTCTCAAGCTGTGCAACACGCGAGAAGAATACCTTTGGGTCTTCATCATCCTTCATTGTGATGTTGTCAAGCTCGGCGACAAGAAGCTGACAATCGGCTGGGTGGTTCGGCAAAAACCAATCTTCCATCATCCTCCACGCATCGGCCACGGAATGGCAAGAGTACAGGGTGTTCTCAAATGGGGCCCCCACCGCTGCCTCCAAGATAAAACCCCACATCCTCTTGTGCTCACCAACAAGCTTTGGGCCGAACTGGCGAGTCAGGTATCCGACGTCTTGATCAGCAGCACCATCGACAGGTTTAGACCACAAGGGCCCAACATCATCACAGCAATGTCAACGGCAGCAGCAGCCGCAACACTTCTCGCCGCCAGCGGATTCTTCGCCCAGCTGCCTGTCAGCGATGGTCACGTCTACATGATGAACCCGGTCTCGCGCCAGCTGTGGGGCACCGAAGCCTTCCAAGAACCGTGAGTTTGAGAATCAATGCTGTAGCTTGCGTGTGTACTTCAGCCCGCAGCCAGAATTGACATGATGGGTTGCAGTGTGCAGTGTGTGTAATGACAGCTACTATTTTACTAATACAGTACTACCGTGCGACCTACAGAGTACTACGCCTAGAATACACTGCTGTTTTGGAGATGCCAAAATTCAGGATCCACGATGGCAGTAGCTTGTGGCGGTAGCTTGTGCCATGCACCTTTCTCTCCCCTCACCGAAACAATCCATTACATCTGTTGAGAGAGAGCACTCGGTGACGTTTAGGCACGTACAGCAGTAGTTTGGGCCACAACGCGAGTCGGCCAATGTGTGTACCTGGCTGCTCGTCGTGGCGATTGGGGATGTATGTATGTGTGTACCAAAGATACTGAGGATCCGTTTACGGCTGCCAAGATACCACTTTCTTTCAGATCCTTTCTTCTCGCATGGAAACTTGAACCCGAAGAACCACAGGAGGGAGTGGGCAGGGGGCCTCAGGGAGTGGAACCCTCCAATGTGGCCACGGGTTGTTATAAACGACAACAGGTGCTGAGCGCTGATTTGAAGTGAACAAAAAAAACAAAAATCAAATTCCCACAGCCCAACAACACACACACACACACGCGGCCATGCCTGACGAACATACCCCCCCCCCCTGGGTTTTCGTCGCTTGGCAACGACGTTGTAAAAGAAGCCAATTCACTTCGTGAACTCGGCAACCAGGTTACCGTTATTTTTTTACCTCTGATTTTGTTTTGGCGGTAACCATATTGGTGGTCGAGTAGATCATGTTGTGCGGGGTGGAGAAACCTCACTCCGCGCAACGGGGGATGATCACACCACGTTGTGTTAAATTGGTCAAGCATCCTCGACGCAGCTACACAGTGCATATAACTGTCTCTGGAAGTGAAAGCCCCCGAGATAAATCGTACGCAAGGAAGTTAGCACAAGATGCCGAACACCCTTAGCAGGATGCAGCTCACCCTTCATGCGACTCGCCGAATACCTCACGGCGCTTCGCGCTTGGTGATGTGAGAGCCTGGTCCGGTGAGAACCCGGCATGCTCCGTCCCGGCTTTGTAGGGATGCGAGGTCAATGGTCTAACGACTACGGCATACACGACTATGAGCACACCCCCCCCCTCCCCTGGCCTGCTGCTCCTCCTACCCTCCATAGGGGATCGCCGGACATAAATTACTGCCCACACTGTTTCCAGAGCCGTGGGCCGGCCGCGATCCGCGCGCGTGGTGGCGACCAGCCGTGGCCCCACTTCAACGGGGAACGTGCTGAAAACGGGAACTACATCGAGAGCGACGAGGTGGCTCAGAGGCACGGGGTCTGCGGCGACCCCGAGCAGGTATTGCTGTGGCAGTGTAGACTATTGTTAAGCGGTTTTTGGTCTCAACGTCATGCTGATGGCGGAGGAGTCCATCGACCGACGACGCGGTTGACGAAAATGGGGGAGTGCGGGGGGAAGGGAAAAGCCAGGAGGCGTCACAAAGATTTATACCTGACTGTTGTCGAGGTTATTGCGTTATTACCTATCAGACCGAAGGTGGATCCAACCTAGAAGCAAATTATGAACCACCCGGTGTGGATCTCATCGAACGTCTCGGGATTTGTAATAACCGAGCAGCGTTGATCACCAATTTTCTATAGGCCTCCCTACTGTAGTGCAGTATGTACTGCTGTACAGCACAGCATACATTAATGTTGCTTGCAAGCGAATCGGTTCCAATACCCGTGGATCTTATTAGTCTATGCCTCTGTTCGAATGCCCATGAATATTATGTGCATCGGCGTCGTCCTGTCCAATATACCCATGGATCATATACTACAAGGCGAAGTCTCCCGCCCGCGCACGAGAGGCCTCATCCAATCACATCAATTTTTCATTTACTATTTTGCATGTGCATACATGACCAGACATGGAGGCAGAGGAGTACTCATTTTTTCTTTTTTTGCAACCCGTGCCCGCCTTTCTTCGTTTCCTCTTGGTTTCAGACCGCGGCCGAAGGCTCCAACAGGTACGGGCAGGAGAACAGCAATTACCCCGTGCTGGAGACGTACGCCGAAGGAGGCATCCTCGAGGTCAAGATCGTCGTGGCCACCTACCACTGGGTGCGTCCTATCAATATATGAAAAAGAAGCATGTTGTGGGCATGCTCTAAACGAAGAGCCTTGTTCTGCGCGTACTCTTCTCCCATCATCCTCGCAAATTTTATGCACGACTCAAGACATCACGATCATCTTGACTTCTACCGGCAGATATTCTGAGGCAACAGAATGCCCTACGCCATATACCTTGAACCGAAAACGCCCGCAATTTACTGTGAAGTTGAACTTTTCGTCGAAAACCGGGCACCTTTCTCCTCTCTCCCCCTACATCCCCGCACTGAAAAAACTCGTTGTTCTCGTTTGACGCTTGCCAGCCTCTTCTTTTAGCGCGGACGAATAGTCTCTCCCCATGTCTTCCAAATCCAACCTGTCTGTTACCAATCTTTCCGTGCGCCTCTGACACACCTATTTTCCTGACAGGGCCATGTCGAGATGTTCCTCTGCGACGCCGACGACCTCCCGGACGGCCCCGACAGCGTCGTCACGCAGTCCTGCTTCAACGAGTACCCCCTGGACCGCGCGGAAGACGACGAGTTCAACAGCCCCATCGACCCCCTCAACAGGGGGCGCTTCATCCTCGACCCCCCCTGTCGCGCCAGCGAAACCGACCAGGAACTCCTGCCAGGCGCCTTCGCCGGCGACGTGGCCACCGCCCGGTTCCAGCTGCCCCAGGGGGTGACTTGCGAGCGTTGCGTTGTCCAGATGGTTTACTGTGAGTCGTTGTTGTTGATGTTGAGACTTGGTTGTTGTTGTGGATTTCCACGTCGTGATCGTCGAAGCGCGTTGTTGGTGGCAGATGGTGCCAATCTATATTCTCCGGCGGCATCCAAGGCAGGGACGATGCCGCACAAAAACCGTTTAGAGCACTGCACTGTTGTTGTTGTTGTGATGCCGGTATGCTACTGTGGAGCGAAACGTCTTGTCTTGTTTCCGGAAGGATGAGTCTCATTTGCTTGCTGGGAACTATTTTGACGAACAACCCGATGAACAGGTCCATCTTAATCCGCGTTACGACGGCCCTCTGTTCATGCGCCAACACTATATAGTGGCGTTGTAGATCGGACCCAGGCGCCTTCTACTTCTGAGCGCTGTGCACGGTAGCTTCAGCACGGATAATAACTAGACCCCGGCGCAGCAGCCTTTTTTCGAGTTCGTTTTGGTTGCTTTGTTTATTGTCCCGACACCTCTACTTACACATCGTGAGATGTCCGGCGAGGCTCACTCGCGCACCAGCATTATTTCACGCTTGAATTCAGCAGAACCCCGCCCCGCACTTCTCGCCACATCGCAGACACCGGCAACTCGTGCAAGCACCAAGGTTACGCCGAGTTCAACCCTCCCTCGTGGCCAAGCTCGTGCGCCCCGTCCAAGGCCGACTGGATCAACGAGATCGTCGGGCAGCATTGCGGCGATGGCGACGCTTACCCGGAGGAGTTCTGGAACTGCGCCGATGTCTCGATCACGTCCGGTAAGGCTCCTCATGACCTATGCCGACCTTCCATCCCACCACCAGTAGCGCTTCTTGGTGTAGGTAGATGCACCTTGTTGTGGCATCCTGACAGCAGTCAGCGTGGTTTGATCGTTGCCGCGAAAAGGGAATCAGTCGCGGTCCTCCCTCATTTACGTGAACTCTCTGATGTTGATTTCCCTCCCCCGTCCCCGCCGCCACCAGTGGGTGAGCTTTTATAAGCCTTCTCTGCGTGCTACTCTCAACCGATCTTCCTACTGCTATGTATATGTATTCTTGACAGTATCGGCTGTGAGTTTGGTTGTCGGCCGAACAAGGAACCACGTCGCACCGCCCAGCGGTTTGGCGCGCACGTAACACTACCGCTCCAATACTCGTGGCGAACTCGTCTCTGACTCACACAAGTCTTGAGTCATCTTTTCCCTCCGCGGTTTATGCGCGCAGCAACAAGATCCTTCACCACTGAATGAAATCACGACATTCACACACACAAGTCTCTGACGTCTGCCACCAATACCTACCGCCGCCGCCGCGGCTGCCGCCGTTCGCGTCTTTCCATTCGACGACCAGACGGGGGCCCCGGGCCCGCGCCCGCCCCCACCCCGGAGACCCCCAAAGAAACCAAGGCCCCCGTGGACGAACCCACCGAGCCTTCCCCGGCGCCCGCGGCCGTCGTCGAAGAGTACGAGCCCACGTACGCCCCGACTCCGGAAGAGGAGTACGAAGAGCCGACGACGGCGCCCTTCCCTGTCTCGACCGACCCCGACTGCGAGGACCCCGTCGATGCGTTCGCCCAGTGCGGGGGGGCGGGGTACGACGGGTCCACCTGCTGCACGGCCGGCTACGAGTGCGAGGAGATGGCGGACTGCTACTCTGAGGTACAACGTCGGCAGTTGGTTGGGTCGGTTGTTTTTCTGTGCTGTGGACGCGACTGACTGGCTGACCGAAAGCGTCGGCGTCGATTGGTAGGTTGCGTTTAATCGGTGGGTGTAGTGGCACACGCCATGAGGACGCCCCCCTTCCATCAGCAACGCCTCTCCGCGAGAACGCCCCCCCCCCTCCCGGTGTGGTTCTCCAACGTGGATTATTCTTCCCCCACAATACTCGTTGCCCCCACGCCCCCTCTGTGGACGCGTCCGCCTCGGGGATGCCCCGCTCCGGTGATGAGAATACCTCCGTAGAAACGCCCCTCCCTCCCTCCCTCCCTCCCTCCCTCCCTCCCTCCCTTCCGTTGGGTTCGCCAACTTTTGGATCCTTCGGCTGCGGTTAGGTTAGCGTGTTCGTCTTACCCGGGATAGAGCGTTCGGCTTACCCAGCAAGAGAGTGTTCGTCAATCGCCACTATGTTTGTGTGCTCTTCTACCAACCATTGTGACTCGCCGTCGACAAACTCCGCCCGCTGCCTGCCTGTGTGTTGTGTGTGCTTTCTCGTTTCTTGCTTGCTGTCTTCGATCCGATTCCAGTGCCGCCCCCGCGGCGACGGCTGCTCCGAGAGCTGGGGGCAGTGCGGAGGGCTGCACTGGGAAGGCCCCGAGTGCTGCTGGCCCGGCGCCGAGTGCGTCGAGCTCAGCGACCAGTTCCACCAGTGTTCCCCCGAGGGAGCCGTCAACTGATCTGATGGATGAGCCATTCAACTGACGATGAGCTATCAACATCAACTGACGATGGGCCATCGACTGTCGACAAGTCACCTGGTGATATATTTTATTGTTTTCGTGTGGGCTGGAGAGCAGGTGGGGCTGCAGTTCCACCAGTGCGTCCCCGAGGGATCCATCCACTGAGCATGATGATAATCTGCTGCCTTGGTTGCGTGTGTTTTTTTCCGAAAGTTTGCGCGTTGGACTTCTATTTTTACACATGTGAAAATATGAGGCCGGATGGTGTGATCTTACGGTCCCTTGTGGCAACTGCTGTTGTTGTTGTTGTAGAGGTGCTGTAGCCGTTTTTGTAGCCGACCTTGTTATGACCATATGGTTGAGGTCGTCTACCACATGCTTTGGTCGTCTACATACATACGTCACCTGTGCACGTTTTTCTTTGAGGGCGTCGTCGCCTTACGGCGATATCATCATTGTGCCGTGAGACAGACAGAAAGTTTTTTAAGTTTCTGGAGCATATCGTTTTTCCTACACCCACTCCACGTGGGGGAAACCCTGTTGTCAACATTGATTGGTTGCTGTAAGTTGGAGTTTGCCGGAGATCCGTCGACTTTAGTGACCCCGTGGAGGTTTTGGGTTGGGTGGGTGGATCACATGGTGAGGGATGCTTATTGTGAATGAATGGCGTGATTTGCTGTGGTATTCGCGGCTGTGTGGGATGGGGTGTGGAGAAGGGGGAGGAGGGAGGGGGTAGGTCCGATGAGTGGACGGTGCAGGTCCGATGAACGGACGGTGTAGGCCCGACGAGTCGGTTGATTTGGTTCAGGATTGCGAAGGCTCTTCATCGCGATGCCGTCCTACAATATCAAATATGCTGGCTGTTGGTTTTCATGGGGCTTGTGGGTTGGGCGGTTTGGGGGGGGGGCGTGAAGTTAGCTTAGCACCGGATGGAAGAATAGAGTTTCACCGCCATGTCGTCATGTGTTTACCTGCTGTCGATAGTTCTGGTGGCCGTATGGGTTGGGCTGGTAGGGTTGTAGTGTGGAGGTCACGTGTTATGAATACACACATGAATGAATGAGTCGTGTGCCCGTACACCGTTTTATCCTCGTCGTGGTGTAAGCGTACCGTGGTAAACGTCATAACCATGGTAAATGCCAGAAGCGTTGTGTGCTCGTTGTAATGACTTCATTTTTGGTCGTGGTGGGAGATGCATAGATGCATCTCGGTGATGGGTTGTTGGAAGAGCTGCTGAGTATGTATGAACGGGGTAGACGCACTCGTGCTCCTCTTGCGATGGTGTTGTGATGTTGCGTAATTTTCGGTCGAAGTTGCCGGCACGTTGCGATACTTGATGCCCGATCGCGTCATCGACTCCACACCAACCCGGCGGTGTCTTGGGGGGAAGAGGGTGAATGCTCATGTGCGCTTCTTGTTTCGTGTTGTTCATTGGAACTCGATCTCTCGTCTCTTCTCGTTGGTCGTCACTGCTGCCATGAAATATGGTGAAGGTTACGGATTTCCCGCTCGGGGGAGGAGGGCTTGGATCGGGAAAGAAGGGTGCTCACTGCTGTACGTGCGTTATAGAGTGGTGGTGATGTTCGCATACAGTTAATTTGGATGCTCTGCGAGGTTTTGAAGAGAAAATGAAAGGATTTCGTGGTTTAGCGTAGGTAAAGGCATGCTCGTGTTGTAGATGGTAGGGTTTACGCTCGTGTTGGTCTTTAATCAGTGTTGCACATGCAGTGTAGTATTTTTGTTGTTTAGTCTCGTGCCCTTCGACGGCAAAACCTGCGACCTGCCGCGGGTGATGGTGACGATGCCGTAGGAATGGGGACTACAGTAGGCCATCATACCATCTGGCATTGTCTTCACGATCCATCACAATCACCGGATGGATTTCCTCATCTGGCAAGGCTGCACACAGAAAGTGATTGAACGAGTGCACACGACACGAACAGGTGTACTATGTAGCACTGTTGGGCGAAGTTCCAAAAATACATTGTATTTTCATTCCTCTGTCCTCGGATCTAAAATAGGTGGCAAACCTAACCGTCAAGCAACAATAAACAACCACGATATTTCTCCGTCTCGCTCGGTTGCAAAGGCGATACCAATTATAGCATATGGGCCTGCACGCGAATTCTTCTTTTTCATCACCATCACCGTCGAGTGTACGCTGTTGTTTGACAGCGTTTCTCGTAGCATCCACAGTTGAGCAATTCTGAAGCAAGATACTTTAGTCATTCCGGCCGAAATTCATTTTGGTCACCCTCTTCTTCCGATTCCCCCACCCTTGCCCGACCTCAAAACCCGATCTCGACCAATGACGCACGGCTCGCCACATCTCGAGTATGCCTCCCTAGAGGGCATCCTTTATCGTGGCCAGTCGCCAAGTTTGATCGACTTCCTCGAGCAGCAGCGTGCCTCACAAGTGTGCGGCCATGTGCAGCCATGTTTCTCCCTCATTTTCACTGGTGGATCGCCGTCTTCCTGTCCTCATCAGTCTTTTTGGAAGATTCGAACATCATGCTTAGCTTGGCAGCAATCAATAGACCGATGTCGACCAACGGCGACCGTTTCGCGATGTCTTCAGTATGCCTCGATAGGGCATATGGCGAGAGTGTCGAAGTTCACCACCGTTCGTGCACAGCAGCAGACCCAACATTCATTTCCTCCAGTTTACCACTTCGCCGTCTTGCTATGCCGTTCTTCTATTCATCGTCTGGAACCTTTTGGAAAAAACAAAAACTCTCTCTCGCCTTCTCCTTCAATTTCATTGTTGGAAATGTTTCAATGAATATCAAGGCTGTCGGTGGGGCTTCCGACCCCACCGCTCAATAAATTTCGGACAGTGAATCTCACTTCTCCAACTTTTGTGAAACGTACATGTTAGAATCTCGGGTTGACGGGGCTTTCCGCCCCCCCTCGCTCAATGGATTTCGGAGATACGAAATATATTGCTCTAAGGGAATGAATATGCTTCTCCTATTGTTCTGAAGCTAGCTGTGAGCCTCAGTGTCTCCGACCTATATTCATTTCTGTCGCCCTCTTATTCCGATCCCCCCACCGTTGCCCGACCGTGCCTCAAAGGTCGATCTCGACCCATGGCACACGTGTCGCGACATGTTGCGACGGAAGGGTGCGACGGTGCGCCCTGTTCGGTCCCGTTGACCGGTTCGCCTTCTATTTTCCTGTCTTGATCGCTCCTCTGACTGGCTTCTCGAGCAACAACGTCACTAAAGGTATCGAATCTCAAAGTCCGCTTTTGGCAGCAACCAACGGCAAAGGCTCATTTCAGGTGGTGGATTAGTAAATGAAATCGTGTGTAGGTCGAGTGAGTATCGCGACATGGTGCCCAGATCCACAACACGACGAAAGTTAAGTGCATTCGGTGAGTTGACGAGCAAGAAAGTTGCATGTGGTGCCAGAAGTTTGCGGCCATGTACGCTGTCCTGGTCCTCTTGACCGGTTCCCTTCCTATCTTCCTGTCTTGATGGCTCTTTTTGGATTCTCGAACAATCAATGTCGTCAAAAATCGAACCTCGCGGTCGGCGTGGCAGCATCCAACGGCATCGTGTTCATTTCAGATGTTCATTTCAGACGTGGTATACTTTGCAGTGAAAACATATGTGTGTGGCCGAGTTACCATTGCGACCTAGTGACAGAAAGTCATGATACGACGAAAGCGCATACGGTACACCGATGCGCTACCATTCTGCATGCGCCAGTAGTGCACGGTCGAGCGTGCTGTTTCCCTCTTCTTCACCGGTTCGCCATCTTCCTGCCTCTATCGCTCATTGCTCATCATTTTCTCGAAAATGTTTTGACAAAGTCGGATCTTATCTAGGGATTCAGATGAACTCATTCGTTGTGAAAGTATGTCAACAAAATGATGAAGTATCAAATGTATGTGCATCATCAGAAACCAAACGATATTTTTTGTCCCTTTTTTGGGTGTTTTACGTTTTGGCATTACAGGTGAATTTATTGTGTATGGCAACTCGACGAGTATCGTCGCGTTGCCTGTCTGAAGCTTTCGATTTTTTCAGCGGGACGCCCGATGAGCACACACTAAAAACAGGAGCCGGGGGACCCCAAAAAGCAAAGCATGAAAAATACAAAAAGAAAGAAGCGAGAACCACCACAAGAGCCAGTAGACGCGACAGGCTTCGGGGAGGAGGCAAAAGAGAGCACAGAAAACCATCGTCGCTGCTCGCTCTGGACCGCTGGAAGCTCTCACATAGCACTGCATATGCAGCAAACACTAGGTAGGGCCCAAGTTCATTGCTTGACATAAAGAGGCAGCGCCCATCGCTTCACATGCAGTAGCCGGATGCACGGGTATAGCCTCTTACTCATTCAGCAAGAAGCAAAACGACTGCGGTTGGCGTTCGATGTTGTTGGGACCCCACCAGCGAAAGGCGAGAGAGAGAGAGAGAGAGAGAGAGAGAGAGAGAGAGAGAGAGAGAGAGAGAGAGAGAGAGAGAGAGAGGTAGACTACGAACATAAAAGGGCGGAGAGCAGACAAGGCATTAACTCTCGAGAAGACACTCACTCTCGTCTCTCTGGCCCACCGCGGCTGTCAGACTCGATGTTTGTGTATCGAACGGCGATATCCAATGTGGGCTCAGCAACAACAAACAACACAACAAACAAATATAGTCGCCGTTTGCGAAGTGTTGACTATCTTTTGTGGTAGGAAGTGAGAACTAAAAAGAACATGACTGTACATCTAGCACGACGGACGAACTATTATTGACGTGTTCGCGCAGAACAAAATTTGGCTCGTAACGACCAGTTCGGGGTATCTAAAGTTCCTCCGACGCGACTTCTGCCTAAATATGTCTTGAGATTTCGCCATTTAGAGAAATTTGCAAGCAAAATTTGCCGCCCGAACGACCACGCGCGCTGGTTGGTCCACGTCAGTTTGGGCCGCTTGCTGCGCCGTTGTGGCACGAGACGGCAGCGGGCTACGAGACGCGCAGCCAGGGCCCGCTCCATGCCCCCTTACACAAGCCATGGATAAAACCAGGAGGCCGATCCGGGATGTCAACCTTAAACGCCGCTACGGCGCCAGGAGCACCGGAGAACTGATGCATGAGCAGCTTTGCCTCTTGTGCGCAGCTGTCCTGCTGTTGGTTGGCAGCGAGGAAGAAGATGAGCACGAAACGGAAGAGCTCGAGTTGTGCGCTGCGCTCATATAGCGCTGCAGGTGGAGACAGTACGGGTAGATCGCACGGTCATCAGGACAGTGAGGGGGAGGGATTTGTGCATCGCCGACATCTCGGAGGACAGGGCGTGGTGTGACTATCGCTTCAATTTTCAAATGTAGGTGCACATGTGCATATAGGTGCACATGTGCATATCTTTCCTGACCCCTTCGAACTCCACGGCTGCATGTATGTGCGCGGCGAGATTACACGGCCAAATGCGGATCATCTTTCGTCTTCCGTTTTTTTTTTTTGCGCACAGTGGAAAGACTTTATTTTTAACAGAAATTACATGGCATCAGTATAGCAAATTCGTTGTATGCGCAAACACGTCATTATCTCAATACGCTTGACGTCCGCGATAGATGCGCACCGCTGCACGAACGAGCAGATTGATTGTTGGTTATCATACCTCACTACGTAAAAAATATTGATTGTGCTGCCATCTACATTATCGCTCAAATTACGCCTACGCAGCAGACTCAAGGCAAGGCAGCAACACGCTTACCGATGCATACCACCCAATGCATGCAGCAAAACAAAAAAAACTAAGGCAGACCGTCTGTTGTTGTTTGTCTCTTCAACTGGTGTGCTGTCGTTGCTCTTCATGGATAACCAAACTCTGGGGGAAAAGTAAGAGACACGCATCGCCTACGCCCACAACGCGTGCAGCCCAAAACGACAAAGATGATACCCTTACGACCTTTGCAGAACATTCCGAGCATATACTGCAGCAACTGCATATGTACAGCAGTAGCCGCATGTATGTGTGTACAACGGTCACGCAGGAAGAAAATCACAAACGCAAAAAAAAAAGGTCCCGTGATTGGAAACGACGAATACAGGATCTTGCGAAGCTGATTCAGTACAAGCCTTACGCAGGGCTCACCTCCCATACATGGGGGTCTAAAAAAAAAAATTAAATTATTTCACGCGAAGCGCGAAAAATATTTTGAAGGCGAAAAAACACACGCTGTACCTACACGTACCAAATCTCCTTGCTCTTTGAAGGGGAGGTTTGAATGCTACTTCCACGTAGGTACATGGTTTTCTACTTGGTATGACCTTTTTGTGGGGTTATTTACATAGACTTGTGCATTAGAATAGCGTGACCAAAGTAGATAGATAGATCATGCACGAGGAAACAGAACAACACGTTTTTCTTGATCATGGTTTCCAAGCACTCACTTTTAGTAAAAAAATAAAGGGTACCACAACGCCCCCCCCCCCCCCCCCCCGGGGTTTGCCTTCGGGGTGGGGTTTTCCCCCCTGGGAAAAACGTTTTTAAAAAAAGCCCCCCCCCCCGGGGTTTTCCAAAAGGGTTGGGGTTTTTCCTCCTTGCCACCACCTTTTAAAAAAAACCCCCCCCCTCGGGTTTTCCCCCCGGAAATGGGTTTTTTTTTTTTG